GCATCAATGGGACTCTGCCAAGCAGGTGTTATAACCAACCAACTGTAATAGAATATCATAAAAAACAACCTACTCACATCTGTTAGTGTGTCTTTTTAGGAAACATTAAGGGTTCTACCTGGTCAATTCAAGATGGTGGCTAAACATGCTAATGTTCCTGAACATGCCTCTACAGTAAATTGGTAAATTAATAAGTCGAATTCCAGAGGCTAAAAAAGTTTTATTGTCCTCATTCAACAGCATTCCACAGGTACAAAACGTTACTGAACGAATGGCTGAATAATTCGTTGTTCCTTGGATTGTATTCTTTTCTTAATGAATATTTCCAGTACTATGGTGATAAATGACAGAAAAATACCTGAAATTACACAAAATTATATAAGAAAAATAGTAGGGCAGGACGGCATTTTATAAGCTTGCAGTAAATAAAAAAAAAACTACGTATAAACAAGAGCTGATCAGATAGATACGTTTTATAATTTTTTTTTCAGAATTTATTTTACAATTTGTTTATTTCAAGTAATTATAATAATGTTCTCATCTTTGACTATTGATAGAGACTTCTCCGTTCCCTTGTTAAAGCTGTAGCCAGTTTTATAGAATAAATTAAATGCATTTGAAGTGAGCCACCATTTTATACCGTCTCTACAACCACAATATAATCGTCTCTAATGTTAAATAATGATTTCTGATGTGAATTAACCAGCTGTTAAACTGTGGTCAATTCACATTTAAAACTGTAATCAAAATAGGTAATCAGTAATAATCATGAATACTACAACAGAAACGTTATGGATCATAAACATAAAGAAATGAAATAATGCTACTGGCCTTAAAGTAAAAATTATTTAACATTGCCTAAATGGAACTGTCTAACCATGTTAATGTGTAGGCTATTAGTAATAGTTGTTCTGTCTTTGCTTTGCCACGGGAAGAGAACGCAGAGAAGATAATGGCGATTCTTCACCGCTTTGTCCAATGCAAACTGTTGGTTTATTAAGCGCTTGTTCTTAATGTAAATTGATTTGATCAATGTCCAAGTCACAAGAAAAATACTTAACAGATGAGTTTTTCCTCAGTTGGAACACAAGGCTCCGTTCAAACTCTATGGTTCTTGTGTCGCTTAATTATATACACAACATTTGTCTGCAACATCAATTGCAGTGTTTTTACAATAATATAATACTGAACTAATAAGTAAACAATTGAAACATAATTAATCATAAGAAAAATGTAGGCTACTGTCACTTCTCTTGATGCAATATAGAAATCTATGACAGAATCAGAATAAAAAGGTTAACACAAGGAAAAGTAAACAAACTAAAACAAAAACAAATCTAACAGCTGAGGAATCTTCAGTTAAATGTGATTAAATACAGCCCTTTAATTGATTCCTGCCCTTAGGTGAGGGTTTATTGAAAAACTGATGTTTTTGGGGAGGTTTTACATCAAGACCTTTCATTCAAGTATACAGTTGACAGGTGTGCGGCTTATGGTGTTTTCAAAAGTGCAGATCCTTCTTGGCTTTATATGTAGGATTATTCGGGCCGGTTACATTATAGTTATTTTTTTTATGATCCATACCGCTTTCTGTTCTAATATTTGTGACGATACTTGATCTTTAAAGGCACTCTCCAGGAATGAAAAACAAAGGCTAGGTGGGCAAAGGCCAAAAGCTAATTGCATTTAATTACCGTACCATTTGATACTTCGTTGGATCATAAGCTTTGAAATAACGCCTCAATCATATAAATTGTCTAAACTTTTAGGTGACAAAGGGATTTTAAGGAGACAGCCCTTATTGTATTAAGTATAGATATGTTTAGCTTTTTTCTTCGTTACCAAGTAACAACAAGAAGAAAGAGCCCTGCATATCGTCCAGGTTGACTGTGTGGTTGTTGACCTCTGAGGCGTACAAGTTGCCCCAACATCTGTCTCGGGAAGGTAGATAGTCTACCATCCACTTGCGTACCAACCCCAGGCGGTGCATCTTGCCTATCCTGACCATGGAACAAACATAACAGAGGTATATAATTCACCGTGGTAAAAATACATGTCCTAATTTTAATTTGATAATAACTATGGCTGTTTTGCTCAAAGTTATTCAGAAAATCAGAAATCAGAAACTGCAGCCATGCTTATGGAAAATACAGCCATGTTAATGTAACATTATGTGGTTGGGCCCCACGTTTTGGAAAATATACTCTACTACTACGGTTGATGCTGTTCTTTAAACAAATATTTGTTGGGTTGGGAAATCTCTATTAATATTGAAACCACTGCTTATCCCTATTCAGCTTTCAACATATATAAAGAAAACTTACTCTTTATTGAAAAGTTCTAAATAAGGATTGTCTCTAGACATAACCATTCCAAGCTTTTCTTGCATAAATTCTTCATTTCCTGAAACAAGAATAACATTTAACATTACAGTTCCTTAATAATGCTACACTTAAAGTAATGTACTTTAAAACTAGATATTGCTCAGCCAGTGAAAGGGATGAGGGATGAGTTGAAGAAGGCACTCAACATTTCCAGCTACAGCTTTATCCCAGCAACTTGCCTGAATGTCATTGACTGGCAAACAACAACAGTTCACCAATACTGACTAGACTGGGTTATCTACCAGCTGGGATGGTAGTAATTTTAGAAAATGTCAAGCTCCAAAGAAGCAAGGAGGAATTAGATGCAAGACAGCTATTTACAGTAGATAACAAAGTGAATTACCAATCATGTAACAGCTTTTAAATGTTGTACAGAATGACAATCTCTACATTATTTAAGAATGATGTTTGCTTTAAAGTATTGACATTGACACATAATTAATTCGTAAATTATAATGTCACGCTTACCTAATGAAAAATCACATGTGTTGGTTGTCAAGAACTGGTTCTTCATGAGGTACAAGAGCCTAGTTTTGCTTTGAATGTAAGCATGACGACCACTGCGAACAGCTTCGATCACTTCTGGGGTCATGCTTTGATGGATCTTAGCTCTGTTATACACTTCTTGAAGCAAGGGATCCTCAGCTGTCTACAAAACCAATCTGGTAAAAGTAGTGTTTGGGGGAGAATCATTTTATAACTTTCATATCTATTAACAAAAATTAACTCTAGTTGGCAGCACATTTACTTAAGGCAAGTTGATCTATTTTGTTTTTAAGAAAAAGTACTTAGCTTAGGAATAGGAACATTAAAGAAGTAAGAATGAATCGCCAACAAAGTCATCAGAAGTAATTCTAGGCCGTTTGGAAAAAAAGGTCACAACATCTAACCTGCTATTTTACCCCCTCCAAGATGATATAATTATAGTTTTTGTAGAAAGCGATAAACTAACTAAATTCATCTTGACACTTCAAACAGTGCCAGTCTTGAGACTGCCTTTTACACTACTTTCTTCTGAAGAAGCCAATTGGAGTGGCAAAATATCAAGTTAAAAGTGCAGAGTTTTTGGGTCCAATCTACTGACTGAACTCTTATCTGAGGCAAGTTAGTTGCAAGATGCAAATGTTGTCCTCATTCCTTAATGATTCATCTAATAAGCTGGTTGGCAATTATAGCCATAGAATATATCTTACATAAGCTTAGAAATCAACTCATAATTTCTAGCATTACATTTGTCCAGATGAAATTTTTCCACTTGGCAATACAGTTTTAAAATCTAACTAAAAGTTACTTAAAAGTCTTACTAAAAGTAGTCGCAGAAATATCTTCTAATGAAACATGGAATGTGACTAAAATCTGCTGGATAAAAATCTATTACCTAGTAGGCTAGTTATAATAGTGAATATTTGACGGATTAAGCTCAACATGTCACTTGATGCTCTTATATTTTTGTCCTCTACATTAACTTAGTTTGCTTTTACTTACCATCAGCTGAGATTTGATATAAGAAAGATCTGGAATACCCCATGTCAGAAAATCTTTGCGGAGCAACAAATCATGAACATTGGTGATTAGTTTGTCCATTTTTGGGAAAGTCAAGAAGGCCACTAGATTGCCACAGTAGGTTGTGACAACAACTAGTACCACGATCCACCACGTGCCGATGATGAGGCGACCGCTGTCAGCCAATGGGAGGTGAGCACCACCTGCAAGCCATAGAGCTCATAAAACTCTTGTAACAGTTCCAACCTAAAGGTGAGTAAGCGTAGCAAACAAACTTCAACCAAGACGTGATTGAGCCATGCGAATGAGCCTTGTACGTGATGCCAATTACTTGAGTTTTTTGTTATCAAAATTTCCTCCATTTTCCCTGATACACAGCCAAGTTTGTTTGCACGTTGCACCAACAGTAACTTTAAAAGACAACATTCCTCTGACTAGCACATCTGTGTCCATTATCCGATTGTGAATTTCCTGATTATCGTCAGTCAAAAACCACAACAGAACATGTTGTTATGACTGATTCCGAACCTATTGAACAAATTTTTAGCACAAAATTTCCCGGTCTACTAATAGATGGCAACCTAAATTGGAATGAACATGTGGACAAAATCATATCAAAAATTAATTCAGGTTGATGTGCCTTGAGAAAAATGGCAGATTTATGTAGTAAATCAACACTCAAACTAATATACCAACTATTCCTATATACATTCCCATTTGGCATCTGTCTTTATAGCTCCACCAAACAAGAAAATCTTCATACAATTCAAAAATTACAAAAAAAAGCTATTTGGATCATTAAAAATCTTCATCAAGAAGTATCCTGTAGAGAGCATTTAAAAAATCTTCAAATAATTACAGTTTATGGACAATATATTTTTGATACAATTATGGTTTACAAAACTTTGAATTCAAGCAAGCCATTAATAAACCATCCAACTCACCCATACAATACCAGAAATAAATCGGAAATCATACCCACTCATCCCAGATTGCAACTCTACAAAAAAAAACCATCACATGCAGAAGCTAAGTTTTTTAGAACTTTACCTAAAGAAATAAAGAAAGAAAAAAAATTTAATAAATTTAAAAAAGTTAAAAAATTATATTACATCAAATCCTATTTATTCAATTGAGGAGTATAACAAGTTGTAAATATGTATAAGCCCTGTTAGCTATAAGGAAATGACACTATTCCATTGCATGATTACTCATGTACACATTATGAATAATCTTATAAAAATATAGGGCATTTGCCAGGAATTATTAAGGACTTATTAATTTTGTGATGTTTTATGTGTCTCTATGGACTTATTTATACATTATGAATAAAGATTTATTTGATTTGATTACCATGTCACATACAGTATAGGCCTAGTAGCTTCTTCCCTATAAGGGAAATTCACTAAAACTATCATAAAATATCTGTACAATGTTTCATGGGAATTGAATTTTGTTTTATTTACCAAAAGGGCATACAGTTTGTGGGCCCACCAGTTTCTAAATGAATATCAAATGTTTCAAACTTCATTAGTTGCAATGTGTATAAAATTTACATAAAATAAAAAAAGGAACAAACTCAAACAGTTTTGTCAATAATCCAAAGAATTCAATACGAGCGGCAGTACTTGATCTGCGTGGGAATGGCGTTCCGGTACCTCTCTTTCAAAAAGACAAAAATATTGGCATGAATAGGTACATAAATAGGTTCTAATCACATTAAATAGGTTAAAGTTCCGGCACCTCGTTTTTTACAAATTGAGCACTGACGAGCACCATATTCTTCATTAGTTAAAAATAAAGTTGATAAGTGAGTACTAAGTGTATATATAAGTGTGATATGAGTAAGTGTCTTTTGACAAATTTTTATTACATCTACATCAATTATGTAGTATAAATAATAAATTATTTGAAACCTAATTTAATTATATTTTTTTAGTTCAGCCTTCTGTATACAGTATTATGATATGGACAGTAATGTTTGGCCTACCTTGCTGAAGAAGTGCTCCGTAGACATACCAAAAGCAGTTAGTAATCCTCCCCAGCCCACTGACTTTAGATATACCAAAGTAATCATAATAGGGACTCAGCCTATGGACTAGGTGAAGAATGGGCGCCATCAGACCAATTGAACTCACTATGCACAGCCATGCCTGATACATGGTGCAGAAAGTTATTAAACTAATGTAAAGATCAATGAACGCTGTACTTCAGTATGAATAATTGATACTTAGGTCTAAATGAAACATCTTAACTTTACATTCTTAGGATTCTTATTTTTACTTCAATAATAAATTTGTCTTACATTCTCTGTGTTGACCCATTCAATACCAATACAATTACCATATTGAAAAAGTGAGATCTCAATGATACTCTACTCGCACTAAGATAAAATATTTTATTGATTATTTAATTTAGTTAGCCTTATCCATAGATCAAGTTTACAACTTTTGTTTGTAATAAAAACTGAATCATTAACTTACATCTGAAGTAAATGGAAGAATAAAAAGTAAGGCTCGGCTCAATTCTTTTGGTCTTGATACTAAAAATACATATGTTTCGATGCTCACAGGGTCTGTAAAGTTAACATAGCTTGCCTTGTTTTCTGTGATCGTTAAAGCACATGCCCCAAGGAAAATCTGAAATGCATACAATGATTGATGTTATTGCAAAAAGAATTAAGTGTTATGCTTTTTCAAAAATAGAATATCAATAAAAGTTTACTAACCATTTAGGTGTATTATAAATAATTATGTATATAAATATATCTATACAGGGTGTTCAAAAAGGTAGGGACATAATTTTCCTACTGATTCCTTGGGTCAAAATCAAGAATAAACCCTTTTCCAAAATCCCTTCGTTAACCAGATCTTTGCCATTTTGTATTTTACATAGACATATTTATCTTTGGATTGTTTTAACAGATCTTTAAGACACTTAAAGGTATGTTAAGATAGAAGAGACCAGTGTCATAAAAAATTACTTTGATACAATTCAAAATTTCAAAATGGAAGTAATTTTTTTTTAATTAATTTTTTGGCTCATTTTATGAAAAAATTTTAAAAATACTTTTATTTATAGCCCAGCCAAATTAGACATATGCTCAATGAAAAAATCTTCTAAAGTTGGAAAGTGTTTTAATACCTTTTGGGGGTCCCAAATAAGAGTACGGTGAGTTTGCGACAGATTCTGACGTCTGCTTAAGTTTTTGGAGTCAAAAAACTATGATAATTTTGCACCTTTTACTTTCTCCCCCTATACCCATAGTATATGGAGAAAGTATTGTTTTCGTCAAAATTTTCGAGTTTGAGTTTTGAGTGGATATAATCGTTTTGGGTCCCCCTGGACCCAAAAAAGTGGTTTTAGAAGTGATGTCTGTGTGTGTGTGTGTGTGTGTGTGTGTGCGTGTGTGTGTCTGTGTGTCTGGATGTGTACAGAGCTAGGGACTACACCTGTGGTCCGATTTCAATGAAATTTGGTATGTAGGTTCTAATCCGTGGTATCTCCAGGTGTTTTTTTCATTTTTTTGAAATTTTGATTTTTTATGAGGATTTTCCCATAAAAACCCATAAAAAACAGGAAAAATCGGATTTTCTCAAAAATGGCCCGAACAATTTTTATAAAAATTTAGTATGTTGTAGCCCTTTAAAGTCTGAACAAAATGGTACAAATCCCATTTCTGTAAAAATTATGGTTCAAAAGTTATGGTAAATTATGTTATTTTCCCATAAAAACCCCATAAAATAACAAAAAATAGGATTTTAGACAAAAATCCGGTTTTGATTTAACAGAGTATGTTATGATCCTTTCAATTTTGATAGTTTTCGTCATTTTTTAGAAAATGTTATTTTTAATGGGGATTTTCCCATAAAACCCCATAAAAAACTGGAAAAATAGGATTTTCTCAAAAATGGCCCGAACGATTTTTATAAAAATTTAGTATGTTATAGTCCTTTATATTCTGAACAAAATGGTACAAATCCCATTTCTGTAAAAATTACGGTTCAAAAGTTATGGTGGATTATGTTATTTTCCCATAAAAATCCCCATAAAATAACGGAAAATCGGATTTTCCCTAAATTGGCTAGAACAATTTTGATAAAAATTTAGTATGTTATAGTCCTTTAAATTCTGAAGAAAATTTTACAAATCCCATTTCCGTATATTTACACTTACCGCTTACACATGAGAAAGGTTGTTGACAATCTTATGGGAGAAAGTATGTGTCAGAATGCTGATACCGTTTATTTTAGTTTTTTACTTATAACTTTTAAATTATGAATCCTACGGAAATAGCTGTGCATATGTTTCTTTAAGTGCATTAAATCATTGACTATGGGATACAAAATCATATTTTTTCATTTTTTATTTTATAATTTAAATTCACTTATGTTTTTTCCTTTAAATATTTGTGTACAAATTCTGTAAATTCTTTGTTGGAATAAAGATATAATTTATTCATTCATTCAATTATGCGTCGATTGGTGTTAAATAGGTCAAAATCGGATGAGCCGTTCAGCCGCTGTAGCATTTCAAAGTTTGTGGTATAGTTGTTGTGGCGTATAGGTAGGAATGGTCAGTCTTTATTTATGTAATTTTTAAACATGTCGGTAGCGAACGTGTTATGCTACTCAGGTTTGTCTCTTTGTACAACTAAAATCGTGATAATTCAATTATTCTTTATTTGATCTTTTTGAACTTGGTATCATTTGATAAGAAATGTTAAATGCTAAATAAAAGTGTTCTTGAAATTTATTCATAAAATCTTCAAATTTTTAATAATTGATATATAACAATTAAAATGGCCACAGCCAATACAATTATTTGTTAATACAATTTGGAAAGTTTAAATTGTATTAACATAATTTTTTTCTAACACAGGTCTTCTACTATATTAACATACAAATCAAGTTTCATAAAGATAGGTTAAAACAACCAAAGATAAACATGTTTAGGTAAAAAATACAAAATGGCAGATATCGGGTTAACAAAGAGATTTTATAACAAGTTTTATTCTTGATTTTCTCTTTTAATTTGGCCCAAAGAATCACTACATAAATTATGTCCCCACCTATTTTAAACATTCTGTATATATTATATGTGTGCAATAAACTATTCATATCTATGAAGTTTTATAATAAAATGCATATTCATTGTTTTTACACACTTTAAAAAAAGTACCTGGGGACCGAGCTTTGCTCGGGAAAATCGTTAGTTTACTCTGAAAGCAGTCTTAGTATTGCAGATACATTAATCAATTCCCACAATCCACAATGCTCGCATTGACTACTTCCTTCACAACTCCCTACGTCGTGGACCTGTTTCCCTCCCTTCCCATAGCATTTTAGGATTGCAGATATATTAATCTAATCATCATAAACAGCTCCCACACTACGGACAGCTCAACTTGACTACTTCCTTCACCACTTCCTACGTCGTGGGCCTGTTTCCCTCCCTTCCCATAGCACTTGAGGATTTCAGATACCTTAATATAATCGTCATAAACAGTTCCCACACTACGGACAGCTCGATTTGTCTATTTCCTTCACCACTTCCTACGTCGCGGGCCTGTTTCCCTCCCTTCCCATAGCACTTGAGGATTTCAGATACCTTAATATAATCATCATAAACAGCTCCCACACTACGGACAGCTCGCCTTGTCTACTTCCTTCACCACTTCCTACGTTGCGGGCCTGTTTCCCTCCTTTCCCATAGCACTTGAGGATTTCAGATACCTTAATATAATCGTCATAAACAGTTCCCACACTGCCTTTACTACTTGCGTCACCATTACCTACGTCGTTGAGCTGTTTCCTTCCCTTCTTTTAGCATATTTAAGTATCGCAGATACATTTTTTCAACTGCCACAAATGGCTCCCACACTCCACACTGCTCGCCTTTACTACTTCCTTCACCACTTCCACGTCGCGGACCTGTTCCTCTCCCTTTCCATAGTATTTTAGTATTTTAGATACATAATCCAACTGCCGCAGATGCTTTTCACACTCCGCAATGCTAACCTTAACTACAATGTATCGAGTAATCTTCAGTACGGTATAATCTTTGCTCAATAGTAACAACTGATGTTTTTCCTTTTGTACTGTTTGTAATTTGCTAGTCTAATGTGGGCAGATCACTTTTTATGAACACATGTTACAACTTACAAGTCTTTTGTTTACTTTTTCCTTGATATTCAATTCAACCAACATGGTACTTAGCAACCCATAAGACTATTGTTAAAAAATATGACTTTCAGTTTCATTTTTCAACGTAATTAGATTTTTGTTGGCAGTTCTAACTGCAGTAAACTCGTTTTTAGGCCAAAAATGAACTATTTACAAGATTTGAAGAAAATCGTCGGAGCCGTTTTCGAGATCTTTCTGCAAGCAAGAAAGCAAGCAAGCAAGCATACATACATACATACAAGCAAACATTGCTTGTATAAGAGTATAGGATAGGATAACCCAGAAAGAATCAATCATACCTTTTTCTGTTTAACAAAGCTTAATATCACATCTTGGATTTCAATCATGGCCGCAGAATCTTCTTTGTGATCAAATTTCTGAAAATATTTTAAGATAACATCAGCTTTTATAAGTAAAGTTTGATTATGCCATCTATCGTCCGATAAAAATTTTACCAGTGATCTATAAGGTTTTAGAAATATTGTTAAATAAACAGGTATTGTATTACTTTAATAATAGGTGTAGCTGTTTTGTAGTTTGTTCATTTGATACCTTTTTTACAATAATTTATGCAAGATATCATCTTTATTCATGAATGATGCTTACAATATTTTTCCTAAAATCCCCACCTAAAATTTTGTATAGAATAAAAAAATCAAAAGAAATTCACACAAGAACTTTTACAGTAATAATGAAATTGGTTAAATAAATGTTGGTAGAGAGAAAGATTGTTTTTACTTCTCTTGACTTTTTTATGTTAGATGCTAGTACTGTACATACCATTGTTTCTGATCACAATGCAATTATTTGTAAAACACTACTACAAGGTTCAAAGAATAAGAGTAACTGTAAAAATAGCTTAGTCTCACGTATTATTTCAGATCATGCATGTCAAGGTTTCAAGGGAGATCTAAAATGCTACAATTGGCTTAATATATATTCAGAAATTGACATAAATACTATGGTTAACAATTTTCATACCAATTTTATGGGGTTAGTTGATAGAAATTTTCCGTTAAAGACATTTAAGTAATGTAAAGCTAAATCAGATAATAAGCAACAGGATCATAAAAATTTAAAGAATCCTTTAAATCACTCAGTAAAACATATAAACAGAAAATTAAGAAAGCCAAAATTGAATACAGTAATAGTTTAATATCCAAAAGTAAAAATAAAACAAAGGCTGTGTGGTCGCTTGTTAAAAAACAATCCAACCATTCGAGGATGTCCTCAGAAATTTCAGAACTTACAGCTGAGGGATTCAATAAGTTTTTTATATCAAGTGTCAACAAAATTGCAAAAAACATACGGGTAAATCATCATGAACCTGATTTCACTTTTTTTTTAAATAGAAACGAGACAGCATATTTTTTAGTTTAGATTTGTGTCGGTTGAAGAAGTTTTTAAAACTATTAATAACTTACGTACAAGTAAATGTTTGGATATCTATGGATTGAATTCAATTATTCTTAAACATGCTTCTTTTAGTATTTGTGAAGTACTGACCACAATATTTAATAAGATGATAGAAAAGGTTGTATACCCAACAGTACTTAAAAAAATTAAAGTGGTTCCAGTTCCCAAGAAAAATAATGATAGTTATGAAAGCTTCAGACCAATATCAATTGTACCAACCATATCAAAGTTGTTTGAATTACTAATGTATAAGTGTATGAATACTTTGAAAGTAATAAAATGTTTACTGATAGGCAGTTTGGGTTTCGCTCTGGGAAGAGCACAAATGATGCTGTTTAGTTATAGATGTAGTTAAAAATATAGAGAACAAAAGATTGGTTTGCTTTCGCTCTTTTGACATGTCAAAAGCATTTGATACTGTTAATCACAACATATTAATACACAAATTAAAATTGTATGGTTTTCAAGACAATTCAATTAAACTTATCAATTCGTATTTAAAAAATAGAGAACAATTTGTTAGTTTCCAAAATGAGTTATCTCTTGGAAAAAATATAGACGTTGGTGTTCCTCAGGGATCTTCTTTAGGGCCACTGCTATTTAATATCTATATCAATGATCTGCCGTACAATTTGATAGGTGAAAAAATTAATAGTTTTCTTTACGCTGATGACCTAGGCTTGAATGTTTGTTCTGAATCTAGAGATCAAATGAATCACATCCTGCAAAATGCTACGGATCTGATTTATCAGTGGTGTTATGCAAATAGATTATGCCATAAATCTAAATAAATTGCCAGATTTAGAAATTTGTTTCTCAAATAGGCAACCCCTATTAAATGAGGTAAAATCTTTAATATTTCTTGGAATTAATTTAAGTTAAATGCAAAACTAGATTGGAAGGATCACATTGACATAACCTCAACCAAAATGTGGAAAGGTGTATACTGCTTAAGAAGATTAAAAGGTTGTGTAACACAAGAAATTTTTGATAACAGTGTATTATGCGTGATACATAGTCTATTGAGTTACGGAATATTCGTGTGGGGTTTCCAATCATATACCAAACAGTTATTTAAATTGCAAAAAAGAGTGATAAGGCTTGTAAGTGGTGTACACTCTAGAACTCACTGTAAACCTATATTTAAACATTTCAAAATTTTAATTTTGCCTGCAATATATATTCTTCAAGTTCTGTTGTATGTAAAAAAAAAACATTTAGAAATGTTCTCAGAAAATTCAAATAGACATAATTATGAAACCAGATTTAAAAACAACTTACAAACAGTGCTTTGTAAATACTCAAAGAGTCAAACAAACATTCAATACATGGCAGCAAAATTGTTTAATAATTTATCAGTGGAGTCTCGGGAGTTGTCCTTGAACACTTTCAAATAAAAAATGAAAACATATTTAATAAAAAAATGCCCATATACAGTGGAGGATTTTTTTTACATGTCAAAATATTTCTATTTTATTGTGCCTGTATTTATATATTTTTTTAATACTAGAACTTATTATATTGATTGATTACATGTTTTTGCTGCATTAATAACAGCATTGTGTATTTTATGACGATTGTTAAAGCATTGTGAAATGTCTACAACAATAAATTGATTTGATTTGATTTAGTAATTCCACATATTTGTAATCCATATATACAGGGTTGGGCAAATGTGTGGATACCCCTAGTTAACTTCTAAACGCGTTGCAATAGGAAAACCAAACTCGGCACATATTTACAACATAAGAAATTGCACTTTTTCATCAAAGTTACAAATTTGCCCCAGCCCCCAAAATGGGGTATTTTGGGGGCAGCCCCAAATTTTCAAATGTAAACACCTATCATGTGACCCATCATTTTAAAGGGTTTATCAAGGGAAATTGAATGGCGCAAACCAGAGGTCAATATCCCACGCCTAATCAAAATGGCAGCCATTTTAATTATTTAAGATGAGCAATCATGATAAAGTCTAGACACCCCCAGTTAACTTTAAAAATTAAATATTTTAATACTGACCAAAAGGTGAATTCTCTTTTTTCATAAAGGTATGCTGAGTTCAGTTTTCCTGCTATAAACTGTTAAAAAATTAATAGGGGATATTCCAAAATGACTGCCATTTTGATTAGGGGTGCGATATTGACCTCTAGTTTGCGCCATTTAATTTGTCTTGAGAAACCATTTAAAATGAGGGGTCACATGATAGGTGTTTACTTTTAAAAATTTGGGGCTGCCCCCAAAATACCCCATTTTGGGGGCCGGGTACAAGTTCTAACTTAAATGAAAAAGTGCATTTTTTTATGTTGTAAACATGTGCCAAGTTTGGTTTTCCCACTGCCGCACGTTATAAAGTTAACTGGGGGTGTCCAGACTTTATCATGATTGCTCATGTTAAATTAAAATGGCTGCCATTTTGATTAGGCGTGCGATATTGACCTCTGGTTTGCGCCATTCAATTTCCCTTGATAAACCCTTTAAAATGATGGGTCACATGATAGGTGTTTACATTTGAAAATTTGGGGCTGCCCCCAAAATACCCCATTTTGGGGGCTGGGGCAAATTTGTAACTTTGATGAAAAAGTGCAATTTCTTATGTTGTAAATATGTGTCGAGTTAGGTTTTTGTAATATATTATATTATATCACATTACCTGGCTCTTACAATTATCTGAAACATCTGTTAAATGTTTATGTTTACATTTTTCTATGATAATAATATACAGTTTTGTTCTAACATTTTACAATAGACAATAGACAATAGACAAAATCTTTATTGAAATATTCCTAGAGAACATTCATGCGTCAGGTACATAAAATGTACAGTATGTACGTAAACTATTACAGTAATTTGCAATTACAATTAGAAATTTTTTCTTCTTTTTCTTCTTTTTTTCATGGTAGCTTATTGTTTAAGAATTCATCCTCAGAGTAGAACAGCCGGTCCATAAGCCATGTTGTCAGGTGCTTCTTGAGCAGATTGGGTTGTTCTCTCTTGAGGTGCTCTGGTAGGTTGTTAAAGTACAGAGCACCTTTGTAGGATGGTTTCTTCTCGTACAGACTCAGATGGTGTTGTGGGAGGGAAAAATTGACGGCATGTCGTGTGTTGTGCTGGTGTATGTCTCTGTGTCTTGGCTGGGCTGTTTTAGTGGTGTGGATAATGACTTCTCTTATGTAGAGTGAAATTGATGTGAGAATTTTATATTTATTAAACCCTTGTTTACAATGACTTTTATTACTGAAATATGTTTTAGTGGCGACGAGTACGGGATTTGTTAATGACTCATACACTTTTCTACAGGATAAACATTGAAATTAACATATTATCATGACTGAAGACCTTTCAACAATTTTATCAACGTTTGTTCAACAACAGGCTATGCTTTTGAACAAGTTTAATGAAATCATACAAACCCATGCACAGAACCCAAAACCTTCAACACCCCAGAACGGAATCACATCATTCAATTTTGATTCATTTGATGAAAATCTTGAAGATTTCAATTCATATAGACAACGACTTGAAAATTACTTTCATTTGAAAAACATTACTGGAAACGAAGATGAAGTACAACAAATCAAAGCAAGAATATTGATCAATTGTATTGGACCAAAATATTATCAGCTACTAGGTAGTCTTGTATCTCCAAACCTACCATCAAACAAAAGCTACGACGAATTGATTAAAATAGCTGAAAAACATTTTTGTCCAAAACCCAATGTTTTTGTGCAACAACATACTTTTCTATCACGTGTTCAATGTCCGACAGAGTCCATATCTGAGTTTGTAACTGCACTAAGAAGACTTACATTCACATGCAATTTCAACTGCCCTTCTTGTGAATCTTCAGTAGTCGATTTGTTTTTACGTGCACAATTCATTCGAGGATTACGAGATGAAACAATCAGTGAAAAGATTCTTCAGCATCCAGAATTGACTTTTGAAGGTGCGTATGAACAGGCTC